AAATTCCTTGTTTTCCTTAATTTTTATGTTGTTTTTCCCTGTACTTGTGAAAACTACTGAGAAATTTTTACTTTTGACCCCCCAAAGTACCAACTAGATTCACTTTCCTGTCAGAAAAACTACTGTTGAAGAAAATCCAAGCACTTTTACTGTCCTAAAATGTGATGACAGACACAAAAAAAAAAAAAAAAAAAAAAAAAAAAACACTCATCATTGTAAAATCAATACATTCATCGTTTCACTCAGAATCTAAAATGTATGACAAAAATATTGGTAGTTAGGTATCCTAAAAAAACTATTATCCTAACTATTCAAAGCTGTACGATAAAATAGTATGCATCAAAATGCATATTTAAAAAATTACGTTATATAAAAAACATTTTCAATATTATATCTTGGCTTTTATTAATTTCATAATTGTAAGTAACGGACTATAGGAAATGTACACATTAAAATAATGAATCCTATAATATATGTCAGCGGTTCTTAACCTTTTGTAGATCGAGGACCGCTGATGAAAGATTTTTAGAAATCGTGGAACCCCTTACCAATTTTTTTACAAAACACATCATGTTATTATAACCAAAATTATAATTATTTTATATTAAAAATTACATTAGTAGACAACAAAACATACACAGTTCCAATTAAATTTATTACAATTAATTTTTTATAAAAATGTAATATAAAACTATAATTGATATATATATAATAGATAACTATTTTTTTTCTATTGGACTGGGCTGAAGCAACGTTGCACCAGCCCGTCCCATTAAATTTTGGGTTTTACTCTTAAACCACAATATCATGCAATTTTAATTATGGCCATGCAAATTCATGCTAAATATTGGTGCAAAAATTTTCCAATTTTTCGAAATATCCGGTTAACTAGCTGGTCGTTAACGTACGTACACAACAATAATATGTATAAGTATATGAAAATCGGGTACTTTATTAATCGTTTAACTTATGATTTATGTTAATATAATAACATGATATCGTTGCAGCTATAGTATTTCGAATAAAATATAATTTACGAACGCAAAAACGTATACCTTTTGGGTTATCGCGTCATTCGACTAGCTTACAGTATATAACATTTTGTAGTACCTATATAATATGCGAATAGTTTGCATTCATGCGTATGTCACTAGCAGAACCAGAACACGATATAAAAGTACTTTGATTGCTGAGCTTTGGTGGAAACTCATTTAATGTTACCCGACCTTGAACTTTATAGTTCCAAGTTCACGAATCGCATTAAAATATTTACTTACAGCCTTACAAAACCATTCAGCAAGTAAAGTATCGAGCTGCAGGCACTGCACGTAGGTAGTATCATAAAAAAAAGCTCGAACAAGTTTCCGGTGGAGTTCAATAGCCGGCCAACAAAGACAAATGTTCAACAAGTGTCAAGGACCAAATTGTTTCTTTTAAGGTTGCGCTACACTATAATGAATGCTAACTTCACGTAGCTATTTTAAATAACAGATTTTTATTCTAGTCCAAATTAGTTTTAAATTTATTTAGTAGAAAGTAAAAAAAATTAGGAAAATAATACCTGCATAATATTATAAATAATTGGTTTTCTCGTTACTTATTTTTGTTGTAGAAATTATGAAAAAGCAATTTAATTACTTCTGTTACCTTTTAAATGTAATGTAGTTGATAGACATTGTTAATACATTTCGCCTATAGTACTATATACCGCAGCATAGAATAATGTTATGTTGTATATTTTGAGTAGGTACTTAAGAACAACATAATACGCAAATTTCAGAAAACATCCGATATAAATTTACGCTATTGCATTTCATTAATAATTTCCACTTAACCTCCGTGCCGTCCGTAAATACTTTGGAAAGAACGAGAGTTTTTATATTATGGATTATATTTGGAAAGCAGTGACCATGAATATAAAACTGAGACGAAACACTCCGAATCGTCTGATGGTATTTTTTTTTATAAATTAATAATAATTTATAATTCATATAATATGAATACATATTTTTAATATTTAGGTAGAAGATCTGAAAAACGCAAAAAATCTAAAACAAAAAAAGATATTACACGTGTGAGGGTTTCGTCCAAATGCAATACACCCGGTATGAAAAAAAAACATGGACCTACAAAATCAGAACGTGAATATTTTCTGTTCGATACCATAATATCTGATTTAATAATATAGAAATGAATTGTAAACGTAAACTGAGATAACGCGAATATCGGTCGGCGTTGCCGCACCTGGTCGCGTTATCTTCAGTTTACGGTCTACCTTCGCGTTGTAAAGTTGTAAACTCACAGTCGAATAATAACTGTACAATAAAAATTGTGTCAAATTGAATTATTTAAATAAAAATTAACAAATTATAAATAAGGCATTCTGGTGTACGAATTGTTATTAAAAAAGAAAAACCAAAAATACTAATATTCTCATTAGGTGCCGCTTCATTTTCCAAAGAACGAGAGTGTTTATATTATGGATTCAAAAATCAGAGGGAATATAGGACGTTATATAAATCATTCTTGTTCTCCAAATTCATTTATCCAAACTGTATTCGTGGATACACACGACATAAGATTTCCATGGATATCGCTGTTTGCCGACGAATACATTAAAGCTGGAACAGAACTAACTTGGGACTATGGATACAAAGTAGGAATTGTTCCAGGAAAAAACATTAAATGTAGTTGTGGGTTCAAATTTTGCAAAGGGAGGTTATTATAGAATTATATTTATTTTGTATGTTTTATAGTTTTGACAAAACTATTATTATAATATAAGAAAACCCTTTTAAACACAAACCACTATTTTTATTTGTTAAATCCAAATTCCTATCATAATTCCAAATTCATTAAGTACTTAATTTAAAGCAATTGTAGTCCGTTATATAGTAAGAACTGACCAGGCTCGATAGCCTTCATGACCAAACTCTTGACTTGGTCTTGGTTTTTATACAATATCACTAGTTATTGAAGATTTGAGAAAAATTAAATTTGTACTAATTTTTTAGATTATCCAACTTGGTAAGTACCTACAGTCAAAGGACCTTATGATCTTCATATGTTCTTCTCTAGAATAACTATCTTTAAATGGGACTTAAGAATTAGACTTAATTGAAACTATTGAAAAAATAAAAGAAGTTTATGAATATGATAAACAAAGCAGTGACCATGAATATAAAACTGAGACGAAACACTCCGAAAAATAAAAAAAATATTAATATTATTATTATAAATTTAATTTCTTTCTCGTAATGAAAAGTATATTTAAAAAGAAAATTAATTTCAAATTGTAAAAAAAAAAAATGTAACTATACCACACGGAAGACTACAAGTTAGTAGGTACTACAGATTACTACTAAGTACAAGTTCGTACTACTACTTATATTAATATTTTAATAAGAACTTAAGTTTATTTTAAAATTTTTACTCAGTATTTATATTACATAACAGAATTTAAAATTTAAATAATTTAAGACAAAACTATAAAACTACCTACCTATTTGTGTTTATTATATTATGGTATAATGCGGTCATTTAGTACATTTCATATTATAGGTTGGGTACCTTGGTAGTTACTAATTACTATGACAGATACCTATTTTAATATGGTATGAATAGTATAAGAAATTATATTACTAGCAGTAAATTCTTCTTGTACAATTTACATGGCAGTTTATTATGGCAGTTTACCATGAAGGAAAATCAAAATATTTTAAAACTGTTGTAAAGAAGACAGATAAATGATTATTTGTACAGGGTGTAACAAGAAAACTTGACAGAAAAAAAAATTATGCTATTTAAACGTCTTACAAAATGTGTTAAAATTATATGATTAGTAAATAGTTTAAGAAATATACTCATGTTCGCAAGTTCCCAAAATTAATATTTTGAAAAAAGTTATTGCTTTACAAATTAATTTAATCAAAAAAATATTGATATTTTAAAAAAATCTAAAAAATAAACTACTTGTCTTCGATAAATGTTTCTTATATAAAAAATAATTTTTAAAATCAGATTCACAAATTAAATTTATCCAAAAAAATTTTAATTTATTATTTTTAGTATTACAAAATAAAAACTATTTTTCCATATTATAAGTATAACGCAAGTAAATATAAATTATATAAAAAAAAAAATTGATTCTAACAAAAGTCATTTCATCACAGCTATAATAAATGCTATAAAGTGAAGGCGTTTAGCTTTTGTAAGCCAGCGGCCAGGTAATTTATGACCATAGATAACAATTATACTATACTTTACTATCAACTAATTTATTAGTTATAGTTACCTATGTAACAAAACAAAACATTTTAGTTTGTCCTAGGTATTATGACGAATAGCAATAATGAGTAATTGCAAATCTACGTCCAGCAGATCATGTTTAGTTTCGTTAGTTTAAAAATTAGAGTGAATGCAGTCTCTTAAATTGTGTGTAGTACGACTGCAAACATACAACATTCAATTATTTAAATTGTTAATATAGAACTTTGTTACCAAAAAGTTAAAAAAAATGAACTTTTTAACAAGTGAACCTAACCTAACCTAACCTTTGCATAGATTAAGCTTTTAACTTTTAAGAACCTAAATATCCGCCCATTATTCATCATAATAATTCGCTAAATCAAAAAAAGTATATTCAAATTACCAGTAAAAATTGAACAGTCTCCAAAGCTTTGCAATTCAATGTCATTTAAGATTTGTTCAGTCTGTTGATAAGCCGAATCAACACATTCTATATCTTTGTTGAGTAAATCGCCAATTTGTTCTTCATCGAATATTGAACGATCTGCACCAAATTCACTATTACAAAAAAGTATACAATATTAATTATAGATGAAAAATATTATAATAAATATTACATTCCTAAATTTAAGTTTTGATATTATATTTCTTTATCTTAATATATAAATTTAACTGCTATAGGTAAATAATTAAACATAATAGCTTAAGAAAAAAAATTATTATTTACCTATCACTACATTCATCATCTGAACTTATATTTGAGTGGGTTTCTTTGTATCATTCAGAATCACATCATCATTCACAGTGTCTGATTCATCGAGTAGTTCTGTTTGAAGGGTTTTTGATACATCTTTTTCAGCTAAACTGATCACATTTAGCATGTTTGCGACATTATCAGATGTAATTGTATACAACTGGTTGGGATCAATTTTAAATTTTTTAAGAATATTTAAAATTGTCTGTTTTAAATAAATACCTGTAAAGTTTAAGCGTGAATAAGTAATGCATTAAATGTAAATTGACAAAATTTATCTTAAAGATAAAATTTACCAGTATGTGATTCTGTTAATTCTATTAATCCAAGTGTCCTGAGTTTAATAGAATCTTCTGCAATATACTGCATGCTTACACCTATTAGTCGAGTAACTTCATCTAACTTTAGAGAAATGAGTTTAGAACTAGCTTGAGTTATTATTTCTTGCTAAATAAGAAGAGACTATTCGTGCACATGTTTCCTGGAAGTAAAATGTAAAAAAGATATATTATTAATAACTGTATAATACGCTAAGCTAGGATAAAAAATAATATTTTTACTTTATTAAGTCTGAATTAATTTTATATATCTTCATTTAAAACTGGATCAAGTATTCTACCAAATCCCATATCGCTCAACGCACTAAATGGTCTTCCATTAATTGTGACAAGATCAACACAAGCATCAAAAGTTGTTTTTTCATTGATACTGACTTTGACATATTTTGATTCATTAAAATTAAATAATCGTTGATGTGCAATGATCTTAGAAAAACCATTTGTTTTTTTATTTATTTTTGATTCGATTACCAGTAACTCCTCAAATAGTTCATTACGATAGGTTGCAAGGTGTTTTCTTAAATTTGTACTATGATTACACTATAAAAAAAAAACTTAAATTAGAGGCAGTCAAAAATGTGTTGTTATTATTATTAGATATAGGTACCTATTATCATGCAATAAAAATGCCTTGGTAAAAAGTAAACCAACAAAATAATAATAAACATGTGTTTTTTAGGTAAAAATATACCATTTTATTGTGAACAAATTTGCAGACATTCAGTATATGCAAAAAGCAAACTAAAGATTAATACTTATAAATTATAATATAGGTAGGTAATATATAATATGATCCATCATTATTTATAATCAGCAGTTATCACATATATGGCAAAAATAATTGAAAACTGTATAGTTACTCTATGTAGGTAAGTACCGAGGTAAGTACTATGTTATATAAAAATGAATTGAAATAAAATATAATACTTGGAAAACATTTTAAATTAAAAAAAAATATAAATATATTATCGGTAATATGGTATTATACAAAATAAACCCAAGATTTTAAAAATATTTGACATGGAAATTTATTAAGTGTGGGTTGTCAATAATTTGTTGAAAAACATACATTTTGTATTAAATATAATTCTTGATGAATAATTTCTGAGTTATTAAAATATTTATACTAAGGCTAATAATCCTTAAAAATTGTTTTACAATAATCTAAACTAAATGTAATATTGGATTTAATATTTAATATTTATTATACTCAGACTATTTTTTACAAATTATTAATATTGTTGGATTAATAATAATTACATAGGTACTAACATTTTCAAATCATTATAGCCTCCTTATGGCTCATATCTTCCTAACCCATTACCGTAGTCATATTAGCCTTAGTACACAAAGTTAATTAACTCAAAAACTAGTTTAGTCACATTTTCATTTAGATTTAACTAAATGATTTGCTGAATTATTAAAAATGAAAGTGGGGTTCACATTTTATACAGGACCAGATTCGAATATTTGAAGTATTTGAAAATTTGGTCTTCTGCAAGTGTATTTAAAAAAATAAAAAATCAGAATTTGAATAATAATTATTAAACTCCTTTTGGGTACGACTCAGCCTCCCTGGTAGGCAAACCGACTACGTCGGATCTCGGACAAATGCGACGGCATATCAAATAGGCAATGTGCGAAAATTCGATTTGATCTGTCCGGTGGCAACCAAATAATAAGATACTAAAGTCTACTAATCTATAAACAACATTTTCCATCATAAATCTCAAAATTCCCGTAAGAGCACTTCCCCCTAGGTGGTGGTACGAGGGTGAAAAATACCTTACGGCCTATTCTCATACCTTCCAAATATACAAAAAATATGTCATTAAAATCGGTCAAGCCGTTACTGAGGAGTTTAACCACTATAATACCGTGACACGAGATTTTTATATAGATATTAGATTATATTATGATATAATTGTGAATTATGAATAAAGTAATTTATTAGTAGGTACTACAGTTTAACCAATTAATTGCATTTGAAAATGTCATTGTGTATATTTTGTGTGTATAAAATATAATACTTTCAAGTACCTAACCACGAAAAATATTTTAATAAAATAATATTTTTGAATTACAACAAAAAAATACTAAAATCATTATTATTTGTTTAAAGAGTTAATTTCGTCCAAAATTTTAAAAAAAAACGTGAAAAAAAAACGTAGAAGATATTTAATAAATTTACCTAATATAAAATTTAATTCAAAAATATACATCAATGTTATGGTATTTTACGATGGCACCTATAAGGAGTAGGTACCTACATTTATGTTAATCTATAAATTACGTGAATTAAATCCGCTGACATTCTTTGTCCACTGGTAGGCCCTATAAGTTCTTGTTGGCGGAATTAAGAAAAAGTTGACCGTAAACCCACAATCATTTTTTATGAGCCGCTGTTGTTAGAATTTTGATAAAATAGGTACCTAGGTATTGTTGAAAATATAATTAATATTATATTATATAATGTTACAACATATTGCATATGTGCAAGTGCAATGTGCATCATATTGTTATTGTAAATGTAAATCACGCCAACTCGTATTTTTGTAACAGGGTCATAAGGTCACGTCTTATATATAAAGACGACCAAATGCACTGTGTCATGACTGCACCAAAAAGTGTTGGACCAAAAAGTGTAAAAATGTAATACAAAGCTCCTGATATATTGTTACAATAGCAATTGAAAATTATTAAAAATACATAGGCACAATTTTTTTTATAACCATTTAAAGATCGAATTTTGACAAAATATCGCACCCTTGGTACAAGACCGCCACAACTCAGAAAACATAGTTTTGAGAAAATTAAATTTTAAATTGTAATCTGCTCCCAAATCGTTACTTTTAAAACTTAAGTTTTAATACTTTGCAATTATCCATGTTACCTGAAACTTAATATTTGTTTATTGATCTACTTCGTTAAATCTCAATCAGCCACAGGTAAATTAGGTTATGGCAGTTTAGAAATAGGAATCGGAATAACAAAACTGCCACATTTAGTTTTGTGTCGGTATTTCATTTCAAACCAAATATTTTATGCGCCACAAAATGAAATGGGGCAGTCTTGATTTTCTTAATAATTTCATTTAATGCCACAACACAAAATGTGGCAGTCTGTTGTTTGCTTATATAATAAAAAGTAATTTTTTCACATGACACAACTAGGTACTAATTTACACAAGACATTTTTAAAAATAATTGTTTCTATTATTGTGACTTGGTTTAAGTAATAACACATATTTTAATGCAAGTAATAACATTTAAATAAAGAAAATTAATAATAAAAAATGAAAACTTTTACATAATATCATTAAGTATAGAAACTAAAAATAAAGTATTTTCCCTCATCTTTGATGAATAATATTTATAAGTAATAACACAATATGTAGGTACCTAATGAAAGTAATAACATTTGAATAAACAAAATAATAATAAAAACTTTTACATAATATCATTAAGTAACGAAATTAAAAATTTAAAAATAAAGACTTTTCCTTCTTCTTTGGTGAATAATACTTTTATCTATTGATATACAAATTATAAAACTTATACTTATACAAATGGCTATATTATTATTAAAAAAGTAATTTAGGTAATTGTTTATGAATCATAGATAAAATTGAATATATTATAGTCTTATTTATCTTATATTATATAATTATGTTTTCAAAAAATAGTTTATTAAACTTAGTAAAAATAAAAATACTAATCACTGTTCTCGTCATTGACTTCAGCAACACAGGAATTTGATACTTTCAAATTTTCGAAAAAATAATGATAGTTTTCAGGAATCAATTTACTTTCACAAAGATGAATTAGGTCTTTTTTTTTTTCTTTTGAAATACCTGGTGGTTCAGTGTAGAGTTTACTTAACTCTAAATCACAACTTTTTCTTTTGGCATTTCTTGTTTTGTTCATCACTATTATTTCACCAAAATCCTTCTCTTCATATGATGTTTTATAAAAAAGTCTATCAGGATGTTCTTTAGAAACTTTCAATACTTTTACATCTTTCCAAACAACTTTTTGTCCTAATGTATTCTTGTTAAAATTGTTTCCCATATTAGATGTCAATTTCTTGAAATCAATAAAATGTTGATAGTTTAATTCATGGACTCTAAAAGGCTTTCCTGTTTTTTTTGCTGATTGAATAACAGTTACCCATTGCTGAGGAGAGTAAATAGAACCTGCTTTTAATAATCTTGTTTTTTGTTTTTCTATGACTGAATGGACAGAATCCCCTTCGTTCTGGGTATGTCCAACAATTAGGTACTTATGAGTAATAGAAGAAATACTCAAGTATGTTACAGCATATAAATAAAGAGTGGCCATAAATTTATTTTTCTGCTGACCACTACAATTATCAGAATAGAATATTGTATCTTTATTTAAACAATTTTCAATTAAAAACTGATAGACACATGTTGCAATTTCGTTAGCCCCACGCTTGGCCTGGTCTTCATTCCATAAATAGCAATGAGCTTCAGTAATACCCATATTATAGACAGTAAGATTATAAGTGGCAAACTTACGAGAGTAATAAAAATTGGATACTTGAGCAGAAGGTGTTGTCAAAATGCTTTGCAAATCATAACAGGCCACTATAATTTTTTCTTTGTTTGTTTCTGCCAAGTTCTTATCATTTTGTTTTTCATTCCTAGAAAGTTCAGTTTCAAGTTTGTGTCTGTGTTTATCATTTTCCATTTTTAATCTGTCACTTTCATTTGAATTATTAAACGTTTCACAAAATGCGCATTGATCTTTTTTTGGTATAAAAAAGCCTATGTTAAAATGTGTATTGAAAATATAAGAATAGGTACTAAATTTGCGAGATACTTTTCCATCATCTTCACACTTTTTTAAAAATAATCGATACATTTCAGCAATAGTTAAAGCACCATCAATATATTGCCTTGTTGTTTGTTTTCTTAGGTAGTGTGACTCAACACGAGGAAATTCATTTATATGGTCAGTGACTAGGGTTACTATTTCAGGACATAGCTTCTTATGTTTTCCATGGTTT